TTGCTTATCACATGGGTCACAAGATTTGAGAGAGGTTTACCGTGGTAGTTGGTATCAAAATCAAAACATTTTGAACAGACCTTGCTAGAGATTACTTCAATCAAACCTTATCCCCATACTTTTGATCTCAAGGAATTATTGAGGATTCTTCGTGTGTTATTATGCCTTAGGAGTGGTCGAGAGGAGAAATGGACACCTTTTAAGCACTACTTGAGCCTTGTTTATCCACAAAAACATGCCAAAGATTTACGGGGAGAGAGAGATCTTACTGCAACTCTCATAATTAATTGTTTTCCATCTTGTGTCTTGAATAATTTAAGCCCAATGTAAGTACTAAATAAATTGCGTCCTCACTTTTGGATGTCTAATGACCTCACATCCTACATAATTTGGGTGCACAACATTCAGAGGCGAACTCGAACCGAGAGCAATAAATTGTGTTTTTTTAGGGTAGTTTTCGACTACAAAGGGGTACAAATGTTATAGCTCTCGATCTAAGAAGTCTTACATCTCAATTGATGTGACATTCACTGTGCATAAAGCGTTCTTCTCTTAGGTCTCTCTTTAGGGGAGAACGTAGGTGATTGAAGAGAGTCCTTGGGAAACCGTTGAACTCTTGGACGCACAAAATATAGCACCAACAATTGGGTCCAACCCTACTTTCCATTCCAATCATGGTTCCAATTCTACTACAGCAGAGTCGTTGACTAAACCATTAACCACCTCTAACCACCTCTATTTCTAGTCACTGATTAAACCATCCATTCCACCTCCATCAATTCCATTGTCCTTATATATGCTAGAAGGAAACTCATTTCATAATTGATGCAAGTCCAAACATCCAAACTCAACTCAAAAGGAGGATGTAACATAGGTGCCAATAGATGATGAACCTATAGCTCTTCGAAAACCCACTAGAGAATGCACAAAACAAAACAACCCTTTATAGCCCACTATCAAACTATATCTCTCTTGAAAGACTATCTCCATCACACCAAAGTTTACTGAGTCTAATTCAACTTTTATACTTGACACACTTCCTGAAGCTTTATCCAAAAGAGAATGACAGGATGCTATTAGAGAAGAAGTGTATGCTCTAGAAGAGAATTACACGTAGGAAGCTGTGGAAAGAATAACACGTAGGAAGTAGTGGTAGGCCAAAAGAAAAAACTATTGTTGGTTGTAGGTGGTTTTTTACATTGAAGTACAGGGCTGATAAAACGTTGGAAAGATATAAAGCAAGGTTAATAGCTATAAGAGATACACTCAAACTTTTGGTTAAAGGGACATTTGCACTAGTTGTGAGGATGAACATCGTAAGAAGATAGTTACCTGGGCTACCAACTTAATTGGCAGCGATCACAGTATGATGTGAATGGTGCATTTATTCATAACGATCTAAATGAGGAAATCTATCTAAGCATTCCTCCCGGATTTGAAAGAAGTATACAAATTGAGAAAGATCATGTGTGGACTAATTCAATCGCGAAGACGTGATTTGGAAGATTTTCAAAGGTAATGAACGATGTGGGTATAAGTAAAGTCAAGGAGATTACACTCTCTCTATCTAGTATTCAGAATATGGGAAGTTACAATGTTTCTAGTGTACATCATATTCATTGTAGATAATGAAGAAGAAAAACTATTCTTTAACTTAGAAGAAAATTGATGAAAGAATTTGAAATCAAAGAACTTGGAAGGCTAAAGTAGTAGTTCACCTTATTGAAGTAGCATACTAAGCTTAGAGTAATTTCTTTCTAAGCTTAGAGTAATTTCATATCACAATAGAAATATGTGATGAATTTCCTGATGGAAATAGGAATGAATGGATGTAAACTTGCAACAAGGCCAATGGATCCACATAAAAAATTGGGATTGTCAAAAGAACTGGGGGGTGAACAGAGAAATGTAATGTACCAAAGGCTAGCAAGGAGGCTTATATATCTAGTTCACACTCGACCTGATATATCTTATTTGGTTAGTGTAATTAGCCAATTTATTCATCATCTGCGGGAGCCTCACATTCATGCAGCGCATAGAGTATTACATTATCGGAAAGGAACTTATTAAAGGTTTTCTGCAATAACAAATCAACTATTTACATTGCACTGATTGGACAAAGCCTATTGAAATTAATCAACATTTTGTCGTGGAGAAATTAAAGAGGATAGTATGCATTAGTTTTGTGCCTTTGCACATTCAACTAGCAGATATACTAACAGATTAAGGGAGAAAGTCCGATCAAGTTAGAAGATAATCTTTGATGACTTGTAGATTAAGGTTGAAGGTCCAATAAAGTAGTTATGCGACAACAAATGAACTATCAATACCACATATAATCCTATCCAGCATGATAGAACAAAACCTATTGAATTGATCTACATTGTATTAAGAAGAAATTAGAGAAAAGGATAGTATGCATTAGTATTTTGCCCTCACAACTTCAACTAGCAGATATACTAACAAGAGGACTTCACAGTTCAATAAATTAGTATCCAAGTTGGGAATGAAAGATATCTATTCCTCCAGGGGTGTGTAGAAGGAATAACCTTGATTTGAAGAATATTTGTGTAATTCATAGCCTTAAATTAGAAGATATTTTTGTAATCCCATTAAATAAGAGAAGTAGTAGATCTCCCTACCTAATGTTTTGGGATTTATTTAGATTTATTATTACTTAGTATCTAGGGATTTATTCAGATTTATTGTTTTCTAGTATCTAGGGATATAGTTAGCTTTTCTGTATTTATGAAAGACAGACACATGTTCCTCTTTGAAAAATTAATGCCGCATAAATAAACTATTGCTATAGAGAATTAATTGGTTTAGGATTTAATCTATTTTAGTCCATGTACTTGTTATGCCAAAACATAGTACTTTCAAGCCTTTGTCCAATTATCACTATATTTTCATAATGTCTATTTTGGTCTATACTTGTTAAAAGTAACCATTTTGGTCTCTTTATTTTCACATTCATCTTATTTAAGCTCAACCTTGCATCAACATTTTTAATTACTGTCATGTATTTGTATTAAAGTTTTTCATTGTATATAGATTTGTGTTAGAATTTTCTACTAACTAAAACCCAAATGGTCACATTCTAGCAATATATAAACCATAACAAACATTGTGGAAGTACACGGCCTTAAATTGGATAAAAGCTGAAAAGGTCCAAATGAAGATTTAATTATTTATTTAAATGTCTATCTTCAGTCAACACCTTTTGTGCATCTCTTTGCCTTCGGGCGATCGAATGGCTTCCCACAAAAACAACTATTCAAATTTATTATTGTTCTGCTAGATTTGTAGAAATGGGTTGAACTCAGACATCTGTAGTACGGTTCTGTATTGGCTCCTTTGGTTGTGTATTGATTCATTGCATAATTGCAGGATGGCTATGTCCCATATCATTCTGCCCGGATTGAAACATGCCAGGCAGCTTCAATGGACAACTCAAGAAAAGGAAAGTTATTCCTTGATATGCTGAATGATTGTCTGGACCAAATTCGGGCCCTTTCCTCTGAACAAAGAGTGTTCATGCGTTGTGATGTGAACTTTGACACCTCTGCTTATGGCAAGAATTTGAACACCATTATTGGACGGGCAGCTCATATCGAGTTTTTAGAATCTGACATTTTTGCAAGATTCATAATGTGGTCTTTCCCAGAGTTATTTAGATGATGGTCACAAATAGGAGACGCCCATGGTATGGCTCCTGATGTGGTCTTTTCCTGGGTTATCTAACATGTATTTATCATGGCTTCCTCACTCACCTCCATGGTAGCACCAGGATCAAAGGAAAGCACAGTTTTTGGGCTTATTATTGGAGTCTATCATTGTACACATGAAATTGGGTGATTCATGGAGACGTGAACGTAGTCTGAAGTGTACTGCCTAAACTATTGTTCTGCGGTAAAGAGTTAAGTTATCCTTGTTGGCCAAATGAGAGTCTGGATAATGCTTTTGTGTTTAAAATCCAAAATGAAGTTCTCTCTTCTTTGGTAGATAGACCAGTGGGAAAGTGACGGGCTAATACTAATTTTGTCATGCTTTTGTTGCATCCCTGTTTAGACATGGAATGCAGGGCGAAGTGGTTAGTTGCTGCTTATATCTAGCATGCGTTTAGTAGACTCGGTATCTGTCTTAATTCTATTGATTAGGCCATTATTGTCGTTGAGCAGCTTCTGCCTCTTTGATCTGTTTCCAGATCAATCTCAATTGTTCTGATAATGGAATGCAGAGGAGAATTACGGTCTTTTGGCTGGACTGTTCAACTAGCCTTATTTGTTGCTATTTTTCCATATTGGAACTGAGGTTTTTTGTATTTTATTAATGTTATGAAGTAGGTGATATCATATTTTTTTTAGGTTGCAATCTGAAACTAGTTTGGAGTTGCTCTGGGTGAATCACTTTAGTGTTTGTGAATGATTTTTTTCTCCAAAAGTGAACTTAGCTAACAAGAACTGACATGTATTTCTTTCTTTGAGGTTGGTGTTCAAATCTTCATCCTTAGTTTGTTATCTAAAAAAACCACTTTAGTTTTATATCCTGCACAATTTCTGTGTGCTTGGTGGTCATCTCTCAGATCGAAACATCTTTTGGTAGTGAAAATTAATGATGTTGAAACATTTTTAGCCATCCAATTATGTAATGATCTTTCGAGTCAGTATCAAGACTCACATGTAGAGTTCTGAAATTATTGTCAGTAGTCTGTTTAACTTAATCGTTGAGTTCTGAAATTCTACAGTGCCTCCTATAACCACAAGAACAAATATCATTTAGGTGGATATCATTGCATAGACACAAATAGAAGACATTCGATATATGGAAGCTCAACTCCCATAGGTTTTCAACATGTTCATGAATGTCATTTTGTCTTGTCACTGCTGAAAGTATATCTACTTAGCTTCACTTGCTTAGTTCATCGACTTTAATATGTAACCATTTGTTGATGCATTGGCTAAAGCCATTATAGAAATGCTTGATCAGAAAGCATGTAGATAAGTTGTAGTGTGACATTTTTTAGTAAGCTTTTTGAACCTCCCCTATGGTATGCTGCATCTTTGGCTTCACTGTGTACATGTTAAAAGGTTGCTCCCTCCCCTATATTGATAATTTATTTGGGGAAAAGTATCTCAAAATGATTTTCTTCCACGAAATCGTCCCGAACTGTAATTGGATCGGATCAGGTGGAAAAAGTTCAGCCATGCTTCTTTGCTTCCTTACAAACTGGTTTGTTCATGAACCCTAATAGGGAAAGCATTGCAAATTCTTAATATTACATTATGTACTTGTGTTCATGACCCCTATTAGGTCTCAAATTAGATTCACAATCAAAATGTTTCAAATTGATATGTCAGAGATGTTTTTGTTAATCAAATCTTATCTCAATAATTTTAATCTCTAGGCAATAACATGTTTTTGTTTGTTAAACCCCTAATAGAAGTCGTCGATTAATTTCATTCTCATTTTCGAACATCAAATGGCTTCATACTCCATATGTTTGGGTGCACCGTGTTTGTTTCTATATTACCTAATATCTAAGGATTTATTTAGAAATATTGTTATGTATTATCTCGGGTTTAAGGCTTCGTCTCACTCGTTCCGATTTTAATAAATAAGGGCTTATTTTGAAGGATATATATATATTTTTTTTAAATATTTCAATTAAATTATTCATCAAACAGCTTCCTAAATCATTGGACTTTTTTGATTTGCCAGCTGAATTATGTTTCTTAAATGGAATCTAATTTACAAATCACAATTATTGTAAAATTAATAATAAATTATTAATTATATAATTAAATTTATTAGTGTATTTACATAGAAATAGAATCTGTAGCAGATAAAGACAAGAAAGAGAAGAAGGTGACCATGATTGTGATGCAACTTCCATGTGGACTCCCATAATTGTTTCATCAATTCTATCATTTTATCAATATTTCTCATTCTTTTCTATTTTCTAAAATGCTTCAATTATTTATTTTATAATATTCCTCATCAAATTATAGATGTTCGTTTGTCTTAGGGCCACTTGTCTCAACAAAAATAGGCTCAAAAATTACATAAATATGTAACCAAATATTTTAAATAGTTTATTAGGTAACAATCATTGAAAATCCATTTTTTTAATAAGAAAATTATTGGGTTGTAAATAAGAAATTCTTTTAGAATGGGCAATAGTAAATGTTAAATATAAACGTAAGTTCTAACTAATACTATCCTTAGCTAAACTAAACCTCGGTGGTAACGTAATCGAAGAAGTTGAGGTCAAATTCTTTCTATTCTTCTAATCTTGGGAGACTAAATTCATAGTTTTTACTAGAAAAATAGCGGTAAAAACGGAGCACTGGGAGGCACTCTTATAGTTGTGTCCTCTAAAGCATGTTTATGCATATTTTGGTGAGTATCAATAATGACAAAATTTGATGTTGGACATGTTTGTGTGACATTCATTGAACTATATATTCTCATACTTGAATTAATGTATGTTCTTGAATATATCAAACATTCTAATTATTATGGGCCTCTCAACCATATGATATGTTTCAAATTCATATATATATATATATATATATATATTATATTATATTATATTATATTATATTATAGGATAAGTTTCCATATGATATAAATGCCATATACATTTATTGTTTCCACCAGGGTAGCACATGCCTCAAGTAGACTATATTCATTATACTCATTCCCCCTAATTATCATTGGGTAAAATTAACTTTAAGCTAATAATAATGGCACGCTTTAAAATATTATTCAACGTATGCTGACTAAGATTAAATGAGTCTGAAAGTGTAATGCACGACGAGAAGGGGACACGGGTAGGAGGGACCTAAGGGGGAACCGTGAAAGAGATGGATGAGAGTGGGTCGTATAGCCAACATGTGTATAGTCAACATGTGAAAGGTGTCATGGAAGAGGAGATGAAACACATGGGGGGATGGAGGGAACATACAATAAAAGCTAAATGGTCTTTTATTTCGGCTCTCCATGTGACTCATAATCCCCACTTTGTGCGTCTTGGTCAAGCCACAACCAACATATGGAGTCACCTCTTCCTATATCATTTTGGGTGCAAAAACCTCGAGTTTAGCATCTATCTCCTTTTTTTTTTTTTACTTTCGATCTCTCTCGATCTTTGTTGCTCTTTCTTAGAGTAATGTTCGTTAGTCGTCGATGTACCCCAACGTTTGATTCTGTTGTTGTTCATACGTGAGTCATCATAGTAGATCGAGGTTATCCATCATGTATTTGTACGATTAATCAGTGTCGGTTCGACCAAGGTTGTTTTTGAGGTTCCACTTTAAAATATTGGAACACAAAATCAAACTAAATAAATTCCAAAATATATATTTGTCACGAAATGACTTTGGAGGCTTTGGATCTTAGAGTGTGACTAGATAGACAAAGACCAAAAGAAAAATAAAATAAAAGATAAAAATATAGTAAAATTTAAATGGAAATTAAGATAAACAACACTACAGATAAATACAAAACGAAATCACAATTTATTACAAATGCAAAAATTGGTGTGGGATATAATTACAAATTGAAATACAAAAAATTCAAAATGTAAAAACGGACTAGTGTTTTAGCACGACCCCCTTTGTGACTGCACAACTCTTGGACACTCTCCCACATCGACCGGTAGTTATGAACACCTGAAAAAAAGAAGAAAAAATGGGTAAATATAAAAATACTTAGTAAGCAACCTACTCGTAGGCTCTAATTGCATCTTTAACCTAGTAGGTATTTATGGGCTTTTCTCAGTCTCTAGGAAATTCGAGCCTAGTTTCTATTGCTGTCTGAGCATCTGGGATGCCTCAAAGTTCTGATTGGTTCTCTAGCTACACACAGACTCACTTTGGGTTCAAAGGAGGTGGTTCACCCATCTCTGGATTTGTGGGTCTTTCGGTATCAAATCTCATCTCTAAGGTGAAACTACTTTTCTGCTCTTGGACTTACTCAGCTTGCATAGCTACACCAGTGAATAACCGATATCCTAGATTGATACGAGACCTCATAAAATCTGTTTGGATAGTATGATACCTAACTGGTCTGAACATCATGCATGGAAGGTTAGGTGGTGACCTTTCCACATACCCACTTCGAATTTGGAGGAGCAACCTTTGTGTGCTGGCCCACCACTAGGTCATTTGTGTGGTCCCACACCCTCTCTCATGTAGAGGTCGTGTTTAGGAGACTCATGTCCATTTCCACCATATAGGGACATCTAATCCCCTCGACGCGTTACACTAGCTTAGGCTTGACTCAGTAGTACTTGTTCTCGTACTGCTCGGTAGGGGTGCTGCTGGCGCTAAGGGTGTACCAGAGAAGATAGGAGGTAGAGACTGGTGACACCATCACAATGCTACTAAGCCTAGCCTGTTAAGCTTTTATAGTCGTCCTTGCCATGGAAGTCTACAAGGTTCTTAGGGGCATCTAGATAGTTTAATTGTCGTAACTTATTTCTAGGACATTTAGGACTAACTCCTTGAGTTATTCCCTTATCTGGGTGCACACAGCTCTAGACCTTTGATCAATACTCACATTCTTAGGATGCAGAATTCATTGAAAACGTATTAATCTAGGTTAACGTATAATCCGCTCTAGTTGTAGTGCCCTATTCTTAACTTGGTTCTCTCATGCAAGCTTGTTAGGTACTTGATCACCTAAAGCACAAAAATCATATTCAATTTATTACTTGAGTCATCTCTTGATACTAAGGAGATTTACTGGGTTCCTCGAGCGACTAGGTGACTTAATGTGAACTTTCAACTCAAGGGTACTATAATCAAACTCTTCATGTTCTTCTTAGTCTGGGAACACTAGGCTCTAGACCCTCTGATCGTCACCCATGATCCTAAGGTATTCAGTCTACTGGTGATGCCCTGACCTAAGTCATCATCTAGTCAACCTAACTCTAGCATCTTAGTTCTAATTCTGTGTAGATAAACACACTCTACATGGAGAATACACAATCAATCACCTGAAGCTAACATACAATATCATGCTAATATACAAGCTTAACGAAGAAATAACATTCATCAATCGTCTGGAGCCTCCATTCTAGCATAGAGGAAAGTATATTGAACAACATACCTCTCAAAATCTTGACCTAGGTGCATTTTGGTAATTTTCTACATCATACATAGCTTACTCGATTAAACTGCCCTACTTGAGTTCTATCATGCATAATTCCTTTCTAGCTCGTTGGAAAACATAAAAATCAACATGCATCTAGTATTCTAATTCTAGGGGTTGTCTCTGTGATTTTTCTTTACATACATAGCAGTTATCCAAAAACGACATTCTAAAGTCCTAAACATACATATTCTAACCTTCTAACGTAAGGAATAGTTGCATGCTAGCACATCCTAGCGGTTCCTACAAGTATTATTTGAAAAAGGTTTCAATTCAATTCAAATAGGTTCCAATTCAAGCAAAATTAGTGTTAGTATTGAATTTAAGGCGAAAAACTAACGAACATAGGCCAAATGGGGAAAAAGGTGCTTATCAGGCACCTGAAGCGCCTCCCACGTGCTTGGAGGATCTCCCACATGCATTGTCCTTAATAATAAGATATTAATCATCTATTCTGTTATCGGGTCTCGAAACACCGACTATCTAAGCTTTGGTCGAAATCAAAATCTGCATCATCTAGCCTTTGATCAAAAACCAAAATGTAGATCATCTAATATGTGACCATGATCGTATAATAAACGCTTCCATTGAATAGTAATTGCCACCGTTTATTTCATAAATCAAATGTTATTTAGTTCATGCAAGAGGTTTCATAAAAGTATTATAACAACATTTGAATGAAATCATAAAATAGTCTCCAAATGAACGTTTTAATTAAATCATTTGAAATAATTGTTAGGTGGGTCTTCCACGATAAGACATCCAATTTTATTCATAAACTAAAAATCATTTAGATTATTACTTGAATATGATTCTCCAAACGTATCAGCAACATATTATTCACAATTTTATTAATGTCCTCGTAGAATAATCAAAATTATTATTAAAACTAAATAAAATAAATAAGCATTAAAATTAAACACCCTATCCTAATCTAAATCTAAGAAAATAAGTACAACTACCCTATGCACGTATCATTGTCTCGAATTGCGATGTTGTGGTCAATCGTACATGGATGCCTTATCTTTACGAAGTAGCACGTGGCTTGAGTATTTTAAGAAATACTCAGTGACCTCACTATTGAGGTTAGATGCAAACACACATAATTATAAGTTGGACCTATCATGTATGTATTCCTTAGGCGGACATCCTAAATGGGCTAATTGGATGTGTATTTACTCTTCTATACATGGTCCACATGTGCAAGTATGGACCCACCAGTCGATTCGCAAACCTTATGGGCCCTTTCTTGTCAAATGAACATTCTTTGGTAACTGTTGATGTCGGACACCCATTTAGGAATAACGACCATTGCAGCATTAAGATAAATATAATGATCGTTTTCCTGCATGATTGTCGCAACATTATGATAAATATAATGATCGTTTTTCCTGCCTAACCCTTGCAACATTATGATAATCATAATGATCGTTTTCTAGCCTCGTAATGTACATGCTCATACCATCATAAAAAAAAAGGGTATTTCTCGATGCATGTACACACAATGATGCATGAGTTCCTAACATTGTTCCTTTTTCATTATCATGTATGTCAACCTCTCTATCATTTTCCTTCCTATCATATCATTATCATAACTTTTCATGTAATTTCGGAGTTTTGTATCATGCCGAAACATCTTATCATGTCACATGTATCATATCATAAGCATATCGTGTCTCCCAACCTATCATATCATACCATACACGTATATATAATAAAATATATCACAATATGCATCGTATCGTAAAACATATTGTACCATAACATATATCATATCATTCACATAACATATCATAGTCATATCATTTCATCAAACGCATCGCACCATAACATATATCTTATCATTTACATAACATATCATAGTCATATCATTTCATCAAACGCATCGCACTATAACATATATCTTATCATTCACATAACATATCATAGTCATATCATTTCATCAAACGCATCGCACCATAACATATATCTTATCATTCACATAACATATCATAGTCATATCATTTCATCAAACGCATCGCACCATAACATATATCTTATCATTCACATAACATATCATAGTCATATCATTTCATCAAACGCATCGCACCATAACATATATCTTATCATTCACATAACATATCATAGTCATATCATTTCATCAAACGCATCGCACCATAACATATATCTTATCATTCACATATCATATCATAACATATATATATATATATATATATATATATATATCATTCACATATCATATCTCAAACATATCGTCAAATGCATCATACCATAACATATATCATAACATATCATAGTCATCACTTCGTAAACGTATCATAGACATATAGACATATCATAGTCATATCGTTTCATAAACAAATCCTGATCATATCATTTTTTAAACACTTCACACATATCAAACATATAACACGTGCAGAACCATGGGGCACATGTTATCATACAAACATCAACTTTTAACCAAGTCGATAATAAAATTACTCATCTGGTTAGATTAAGCTAGTGTCACCAATTTATCCTTAATGAAATTTTGATTTTGTGGTTTGTATCTAAATCAATCTATATGAACCAATGACATGAATTTCAAAGTTCAATTTTCTAAATTTTACCATGTTTTATGTGTTAAACTCATTGAACTAAATAATTGCAATAAAATTAGGGAAGATATAAGATAATACTAGGAAGATCTGTTTAACATTTTTGTTTTTCTTTTTCCAATCACTATCAATAAACTAAAGCCTCCAAAGTCTCACATTGGTTATTAGAAGTGAGCCTCACATTGGTTAATTTAGTGGAAGATCATGAGTTTATAAGTGAGGAATACTATCTCTAGTAGTACAAGGTTTTTTTGGGAAGCCCAAAGCAAAGCCATGAGAGCTTATGCTCAAAGTGGACAATATCATACCATTGTGGAGAGTCAAAAGTGACTAAAGTGTCGAACGAAGGTTGTACTTTGTTCAAGGGCTCTAGAGAAAGGAGTCGAGCCTCGATTAAGGGAGGAGGCCCTTGAGGCTTATAGTGTATTTTGTTCGAGGAACATAATATCACAATTTGAGAGAGATTTTGATCTCGGATCTCTTTTTATTTATAGTTAGCTTTACGACTTAAAGAATTGAAATTGAAATTGATGTGATGGTTCATATAGGTTGACTTAGATACAAAGAACAAAAATCAAACTTTCTTAAGGATAAATTGGTGACACTAGCCTAAGCTAATCAGATGAGTGGCCTTACTATCTACACGTGGCCCGTTGTTCTGCACGTGTCATATATATTGATATTTATGAATTGTTTATGGATCGATATGCTTAGGATATGATATGTATATATAATAATATGTGAATTGTATGATAATACTTACGATACGATGTGTTCCATGATATGTTTGAGATAGGATACTAAAATGATGCACTAAACGTAATGTAATGATAGGAATAAGATATGTTCATAAAACGTTAAGGTTAGGTTACGTATCGAAGTGTTATGAATATGAGAGATTGATAAAAACGATATGGTCATGATCAATTGATAAAAGAATATGATTAGGTTATGGGTAGAAGGGATAGGATTATGATAGATTGATAAAACGTAGGATACGTTCCTATAACGATATGACTGTGATATGTATAAAAATGTTAATGCTATGATAAGTTACAGAACAATATGACCACGAAGTATTTACAATATGATATGATTATGAAACGACATGTGAATGACGGATATATATATATATATATATATATAAATAAATAAATATATGTGTTGTGATATGATATAAAAATGATATAAAATATGTTATGGTACGAGATATGTGATAAATTGACATACTTATGATATGATATATTGTGATGCGATATATTATTGTTAGATATGTATATGATAAAAAATTGCTATGTCTGAAAGCATAGAATGTTATGATATGATATATTTATGTAATTTGATGATATAACATGATTGACATGCAAAATGACGAACTAGCATGACATACAACCCCGACGTATGCATGAAAGATATGGTAAACGATATGTGAAATGATATGAAAAACGATATGATATGTACAAATCGCTAATGGGGTTGTATTAAATGTTAACGAAAATGAAAAAATATTTGGACCTCATGCATTATTGTGTGTCCATGCATTAGGGGATACTACTATTCCATCACGAGGGTACGGACGCATACACCCAAAGGGCAAGTAAACGATTATTATGTTTTACATAATGTTGTCATGACAGTTACTAATTCTAACGGGTGTCCGACCTAAAGAGCTCCAAGAGTATGCTCGCCCGAAAGGAAAGTGACTCAATAGTGTGCGAACTGACTGGTGAGTCCATACTTGCACATATAGGCTGTGTGTAGAGTATAGGTACACATCCAAGTTACCCGTTAGGATAGCACCTCAGGAAAATAGATTGAAATGATAAGTCCTGTCATCTCATTTGCATGTACTTGGTGCATAACCCTGATAGACGGTCGCTTATTGAGTATTCTTAAAATATTCAGGCCTTATGCTACTACATTTTTAGATAAAGGCAAAACGCCCATGTGAGACTGACGGAAGCATCACAAATCCTGTAACTGTGGCACATGCATAGGATAGATTTACATTTCATATTCAATAGTATAAATTAGTATAAGTTGAATTGTATTGTATTAATAATATAGGTTGAATTAATAGTATAGATTAGTATAAGTTGAATTATATTTCATTAATAATATAGGTTGAATTAATAGTATAGATTAGTATACGTTGAAAAATTTAATAAAATATAGGCTAGTATAAGGTATTTCATTCGGCACTATTTTTGTTTTTCTTTTCCTTGTATTTATTTTTCTTTTCCTTGTATTTAGAGTAGGGTAACCGTCTTAAATTAAATAAGAAAATTTAGGTTATTACCAAAAAAAAAAAAAAAAAAAATGATATCAAATATAATAAATATTTTTTTTCTTTTATATTTAATATATATTGTATTATATATTAATTTCAACCTTTTAAATTAAAACATTTTCAATCTTATATTTAATATATCTAATATATAAATATTAACTCTTCAAATTAAATATATTTAATGTAAGTGTTTAATATTTCGTTTCATACCCTTATAAATAATATTTCGTTTTTCTCCTTAACCGACGTGGGATCTCACAATCCACCCTCTTGAGATCCAACGTTCTCATTGACGCTCATTCCCTTCTCCAATTGATGTGGGACCCCCAATCTACCCCATTTGGGATCCAATATCCCCGCTAGCACATCGCCTCATGTCTGGTTTTGATATCATTTGTAACATCACAAGCTTGCTGCTAGTAGATATTGTCTTGTTTGAGCTTTCCCCTTCAAATTTTCCCTCAAGATTTTAAAACGTGATTGCTATGGAGAGGTTTCAACGGAGGTATAAAAGATGATTCGTTCTCCTCTCCAACCGATGTGGGATGTCACTGTAACTTTCATAGTTTATTTGATGTAATCACACTCATTTTCTTTTTATTATATATCGAAATATGAGAAATTGGTAATTAATATGCGATATTATATAATAAAATTGTAATTATTGTCACGTGGGTTTATGTAAAGAATGTAACAAAAGTCACATGGTTTCACTAATTTCCAAGTGATGCCTTCATTTACTTTATTCATTTACATCGCTGCTCCCATATTCCTTTATTCCCCTCTCCTATTACTTCTAACCTTATTGTATATTTTTTAATCCTATTTACAAATATTATCTATTAATCATTGTTCTTAGTTTATGCAATTTAGGGAACATAATTTTATATACTCAAAAATCTCCATCAAGGATTTGGCAGATGAAACACAATTATTGTTCTAAAAAATATATTTGCCACATGAAAATTCTCTATAAATATGCTTTTTAGGTTAATTTTGTATTTTGTTTTTTAAAAAATACTTTTTATTTTTTTAAAAAAATTTGAAAAATACTAATGGGTAAACCATTTATATCTTATTTTAAAAATACCCTTAAACTTTTAAAATTTTATTAATGTCAGGAGAATGGCTCTATATCATGTTAGATGAACACGACTCGACTCTCCACAATGATATGATATTGTGGCTCTGATACCATGTTAAATGAACACGACTCTCCACAATGGTATGATATTCTGACTATGATACCATGTTAGATGAACATGACTTTCCACAATGGTATGATATTCTGGCTATGATACCATGTTAGATGAACATTACTTTCCACAATGGTATGATATTCTGGCTATGATACCATGTTAGATGAACACAACTCTACACAATGGTATGATATTGTGATACCATGTTAGATGAACACAACTCTCCACAATGGTATGATATTGTGATATCATGTTAGATGAACACAACTCTCCACAATGGTATGATATTGTGACTATGATACCATGTTAGATGAACACAACTCTACACAATGGTATGATATTGTGATACCATGTTAGATGAACACAACTCTCCACAATGGTATGATATTGTGATACCATGTTAGATGAACACAACTCTCCACAATGGTATGATATTGTGATACCATGTTAGATGAACACAACTCTCCACAATGGTATGATATTGTGATACCATGTTAGATGAACACAACTCTCCACAATGGTATGATATTGTGACTATGATACCATGTTAGATGAACACAACTTTCCACAATGGTATGGTATTCTGACTATGATACCATGTTAGATGAACACAACTCTCCACAATGGTATGATATTGTGACTATGATACCATGTTAGATGAACATGACTTTCCACAATGGTATGATATTCTGGCTATGATACCATGTTAGATGAACATTACTTTCCACAATGGTATGATATTGTGACTATGATACCATGTTAGATGAACATGACTTTCTACAATGGTATGATATTCTGACTATGATACCATGTTAGATGAACATAACTCTCCACAATGGAATGATATTGTGACTATGATACCATGTTAGATGAACATGACTTTCTACAATGGTATGATATTGTGACTATGATACCATGTTAGATGAACACAACTCTCCACAATGGTATGATATTATGGCTCTGATACCATATTAGATGAACTTGACTTTCCACAATAGTATGATATTGTCTACTTTGAGCATAAACTCTCATGACTTTACTTTAGGTTTCCCCAAAAAGTCTCATATCAATGGAGAAAATATTCTTCGATTATAAACGGATGATCATCCAACAATTAAAACACTTAATTTAATTAAAAAAAAAACATAAAAATATCATGTTTCATAAATACTCGAAACTTTTAAAATAGTTAAAAAAAATTAACGAGAATATTTTTGAAATAAAAATATTAACTAATTTACATTCAAAATTAAAATATATATATATATATAGGTATAGGTATGGAGAGAGAAAAGTGGTAGACAAATCTGATAACAACTTTACATCTCCAAAACCCCATCAAAATAATTCATACCTACACATGCTTTTTGTTTTATTTCCTACCATTTTCTTAATTTAAAAAATAAAATAAATCATAATTTTGTGGAAAGGCCCTTTTACTGAGGAGTTTGTTAAATTATACCCCTTCTTTTTCATTAAATTACAAAAAGAGGCTCTTATTTGGATAGGCCTGGACCCCACAAAGATTCTCTCTTCCATCTTTTTTTTGTGGGCCCCTATGAGGTTAGGGCCCAATCATATCCCACCCATCACAATCATTATAAAATTCATGGAACTGCCTCGGACGGCTGAGATTTGCTGCCCATTGTTTTGGTGTGTCTCAATAATGTACCCAATCATTTTCCTTACCCTCAATCTCAGCCGTTGGAGACTTCAAATTTATTTAAATTATTTATTATACTTTTTATTTTATTTCTATAATGTAGTGATTATTAATTCTTTTCTATTCAAAATTATTGCCATTAATTGAATTTCTTGGTTGAATAATATAAAAATGTAAGATATATAAAAATTATTTTCCCAATCACCAACTAACTAAGGCCCCTAAATGACTCTCAGTGATAAAGGAGTTTGTTTACGAGTGCGTAATAGCTCACTAACCAAGTGCTCTTGCCTCGAAGATGAACAAGACTAAGCGATCCATTGAAGTTGTGGGATGTAAAAATGCATTGGTAAGGAAGCACTGAAACGAACAGTTAATAATACTAGCCCAGTAGTTATCGTTGAGCCAATCTTTGGAGGTTGTTGCATGGTCCCCAATGGTAGTCGATAGTAATATTTTAATTTTTTAAATGAAAAAAAAAAAAGAGATTAGAATAATTTGGAAAGGTTAAGTTTTATTTTTCTTTAAAAAAAGAAAAAAAGAAAAAAAAAAAAGGTGTAAGATTTGAGTGTCACGTGAGTGGCAGAGTTAAACAATGTTGGGTCGGGGTTTGTGATCGATTCACATGCAAATGCTTTGCATGTGAATGGATGATGGGAGGATGGAAGAAGAAGCCAATAGATTTCCCAACTCATTTCTTTCCATATTTATTTATTTTTTATTTTTTTTATTCATATTTATATACACACACATTATATTACAAAATATAAATAAATTAAAAAAAAAAAAATAGTAAAATTAAAAATCAATGTGTCCCCAACCAAGATGGGATTCTCACAATCCACTCGTTTCTTTCTTCATTCGATGTAGGACCCCACCAAATTCATCCCCCTTCAAGACCCAGTGTTCTTACTGGTCCTTGCTGGCACATCGTCCGATGCTCACCATTAGCAGTATTATTTTCTTTGGGTTTTTTCCTCGAGTCTTTAAAACATGCCGACTGGGAGAATAAGGGTATTTCGTTCTCCTCCCGAGCCAAAGTGGATTCTCGGTTAATTTTAGGAAAAATACATTTTAGAACCTTGGAAAATCAGAAGCTTTTAATACAGTTGGCGAAGGAATTCATGAGTACAATGTATTAATGCGTAGGTAAAAAATGTTGGGCAGTTTGGTCATTACAAAAATTCTCTCCTGTTATTCCCATTCTTTTCTCAGCCATCCAACTGTACGAAACAAAAACCCCGCCTTTTGTCTTTTCTTAACACCAGTTAATAATGCCTCAATATTATTAAATACCAAAATGACTCATCTACCCTTATAATTTGAAGTTTATTACAATCACACCCCTACACATTTAATTTATTGAATCAGTTTTTTTTTTTTTAATATTTGTTTCAACTTTTAATTTAATTTATAGAACTATCATACAAGTTGATTTGAAAAAATCTTTTAGACTAACTCATAAATTTGGATGGGTTAGGTTGAAGACTAGAGTAAGCAGTTCACTACTCAACCCAACCGAACCGATCCCTCGATTTTTTTGGTTGTGTTGGAGGCTTGAGTAACCCGAATAAAGTTCACTACTCAACCCAACCGAACCTATCCCTTGATTTTCTAGTTGTGTTGGAGGATTGAGTAACTTGAATACAGTTCACTACTCAACCCAACCAAGCCTATCCCTCGATTTTTTGGTTGAGTTAGTTAGATGCTTGAGTAACCCGAACAAAGTTCACTACTCAACCCAACCAAACCTATCCTTCAATTTTCTGATTGTGTTGGAGGCTTGAGTAAATCGAACAGAGTTCACTACTCAACCAACCGATCATATCCCTCGATTTTCTGGTTGTGTTGGAGGCTTGAGTAACATGAATAGAATTTACTCTTCAGCCCAACCCAACCTATCCCTCGATTTTTGGGTTGGATTATCGGTTATTTTTT